TCCCTCCCTGCCCTTCTTCAAGAATACAGGAATAGGGAGGTAAATTATTTTGCTGTCATATCCATTCAAATGCATTAAGCATAATTCTTACTTCAACTAACTTGTGCCACCCAATAACAAAATTTTACTGCCCTTGCATTTGGCTTTAGGGATTTTTAATAATACTTAAATATTCTTTTCTTATGTACCTCAGTTGGTACTTGGGGGTGGTTATAGTAGCTGGTTTCCCTGAGTTCATTACTGTAAGTACTTAATAAATGTTAATTGATTGATGGGTATTGCCATTCTTGTTTTCTTCTTTGCATAATTTTTCTATAGAGGATGCACCAAAGACTTCCTTCTTTTAATAATTTTCAATAACTCAGGAAAACTCATATGGCACATATTTCCTCTATACAGGATGTCCCAAAAGTCTTAGTTGAGGTAAAAGCTATTAAAGTCTAGTTGGACAATTTTTCTCCCTGTCAATCTTCTTCAGTGCCAATTCTACCTCTTTGTTTAGCATATTAAGGACTTAAATGCTAGCATCCAAATGGGGTGGTGTCATTGTCATCAGTGATGAAAGTTATTTATTAAGGAAAAAGAACAGAAGGGGACATGTTGGAGGCAACACCATTTTGAGAAGCTAGAGAGATCAAATCTCAAGATATCTGAAAGAGAAGTTCCTGAATCTTTGCTATGGTATTATACAGATGGTATTATTACCTACAAAAAAAAGGCAATTAAGTAGACAATATGGGATCACAGACTTAGAGGTGTAGAAGGGCCTTAGAGGTTATCTCATCTAATCCCTTCATTTTGCAGATAAGGAACTTGGACCTTGTCATGTGACAGTCCTTTGGCATGAGATGTCCTCTTGGGAGGACAGAGGTTTTCATTTTGACCCTTACTTTCTAAGACTGGGCTCAGAGTACCCAAGATCTAACCCTAACTTTCCTTTATGTCTAAGGAAAGGCCCATGAACCAGCCAGAGATGATAGAGAAAATAAGCTCCTTAATGAGTTCTAGTGCCATGAATATAATATCATAACAAGAGGGACCAGTTAAATATTCAATTTTTATTGACAAATTATAGAGAAGTGTGGGAGAGGAGGGGGAAGGGAAGAGAAAAGAAGGGAACCTTATATACAAATCAGAAATAAACATATTAAAATAAATTCACATTGGAGATCATAGGGCACAGGTCCATTCAAGAGGTCTATTCAGGTGGGAAGACTTGGTCCTATGGGAGCAGCATGCTCCTGGGGTGGGGACGGAGATATACTGCTAGGGAGGGGAGATATATTCCAAAGTACCCTTTTGCAGCTAGGTAGTGCAATGGACAGAGTGCTGGTCCTGAAGTGAGGAAGACTCATCTTCCTGAGTTCAAATCTGTCCTCAGATAACTATGTGGCCTTGGGTAAGTCACTTAACCCTGTTTGCTTTAGTTCCTCATCTGTAAAATGAGCTGCAGAAGGAAATGTCAAACCACTCCAGCATTTTTGCCAAGAAAACTCCAAATGTGGTCATGAAGAGTCAGACATGACTGAAAATGATTGAACAACAATAACAACACCTTTCTGAAAGTGGGATATTTCAATCCTGATCTTGGGGGCTTCCTGGAGATGGCCAATATGCATGTCAAAGTTCAGGATACATCAGGGATTTGGGGGGTACACAGGTGCAAGACAACACTCCAAGAATATTGTTGTTCAGTTGTTTTGGTCGTGTTCAACTCTTTGTGATGCCATTTAGGGTTTTCTTTGCAAAGATACTAGAGTAGTTAGTCTTTTGCTAGTTCCTAGGATGTTTTTTGTGCTTCTCTTTTGAGTGCACCAAGGCTATGTGTATATGTGTGAGATAATTCAGCTTAATATTTCTAAAGGGATATTTCTAAATCATAGGTGAGGCCATGTCACTTCTGCTGAGGAAGCTTCAGTGTCTCCCTCAGTGGCCTCTAGAATCAAATATACCTTCTTTGTTTGGCATTTAAAGCCCTTCACCATCTGACTCTAATCTGTCTTTACAAATTGTTTTCACATTATACACTCACACACTCTATATTACAACCAAACTGACCTATTTGCTATTTCCCATATTCAAAGCTTCATCTCTAGCTTTTCTTATTCCTTTTTGTTTTTTTTAGAGGGTGTCTTCTTTTCCTAGAGTGTATTCCTTTTAGAGTCTCTAGCTTCCTTGATAAGCTCAATTCAAGTATCACCTCAGTTGTTGGTGTCCCCCAAATGACTTTCTATTTGCTTTGTATATATTCTATACTTAATGTGTCAGGAGACTTAGTTCCTTAATATGTATATCCTCCTTCCCTACTCCCCCAGGAGAATGTAAACTCTTGGAGGAAATGGACTACTTCTTTTTATCTATTTTTAGCTTTGAACACCAGTGTCTTATGTATTATAGGCACTTAGTAAATGTTTGTTGAATGAATGAGTATACAAGGCAAGATGGCAGACAGTCAACATATATACATTGAAGAATAAAACCAAGATACCTTGGACTAGAGAAGCCCAAGAGGTAAACTCAGAAGCAAAGAGTAACCCTAGATAGAATCTCAGGGAAAAGAAGATCCTGGTCACAAGAACTACAGGAATACCTTGAGAAAAAGGGAAGCAATAGATATAAAATGGAACAACTGGGAAAGAAAGAATGTCAAGATAATTAATAACTGAGAACAGACTATGACAAAACTAACACAAGAATTGAACTCCCTGAAACTCACGAGCCAAAAAGAAAACAACTATGAGACAATAATTATTAAAAGATTGAAAAAAAGAAAATGAAAGATGTGTGTGTGTGTGTGTGTGTGTGTGTGTGTGTGTGTGTGTAAAATTTTTAAAAAACTGACCTGGAAAATAGGTCAAGAGATAATCTAAGAGTCATCAGACTGTCTGAGAATTATGATGAAAAAATATTTACATACCATAATTATAAGAAATGAGAAATGAAGGCTATACATATCATGTAGAACTAGAGGGCAACATGAAAACAGAAGGAATCCACTGATCACCTCCCAAAAGAAACCCTCAAATAAAAAATATGGATTTTCCAGGTCAAGGAAAAACTACTGTAAGCAGCTAAAAATAAAAAGTTCAAGTGCCAAGGAGCCACAGTCAAGATCACACAAGATTTGGAAGCTGCCACTAGAAGAAAAGGAGAGTTTGGAATACAACATACCAAAGGGTACAAGATAAAGGCTTATAACCAGGAACAATTTTCTGGTAAAATTGAGCATAATCCTGTGTTTGGGGGAAGGGAACAAAAGACAATAGACCTTTAATGAAATGGAGGGTTTACAATCATTCCTTATGAAAAGGCTAGAAATGAGTAAATATTTTAAAATGGAAACATAAGAGACAAGATTAACAATTTACAATCTAGTATGAGGAAAAGAAACAAATGTCTTTTTAGATCTCTAATGTCTTCAAAGGTCATAGAGAAAGTTAGATAAGAAAGGCAGAGGGAATAGAGGTGGATTTATTCTATTTTCATGGTCTAAGGAGAAGAAAGAAATGAAATGGGAAGGATGGGAGCTATACTGGGGAAGAAAAGAGGAGGAAAGAGAAGGAAATCACTATTTCACATAATAGCAGTGCATGAGATTTAAAAAACAACAACAACAACAACATACCAACATGGAGAAAGGGGTAGGGGAACAGACTTCCCATAAACTTCAGTTTCATCTGAACTGGACAACATAAACACATACATAGAACATGATATAGATTTCTTGAATTCAACCGAGGAAGAGGCAGGGACAAGGAGAAGGGAGAAAGTGTTTTAAGAGGGTGAGCAGGATAGTTGATGGAGTAGTCATAAGCAAAACAAAATCTAGAAAGGGAGCATGAGAAAGGATTAAGAGGAAAAGAAAGAAAAAAAACCTGTGAGTGCATGTGGGACAAAAAGAAGAGGAGCAATGGAACAGAAATAGACGACATTTATCAATTATAAATTTTAGGCAAACTTCTTTTACCATCTCTCTCTCTCTCTCTCTCTCTTTTTTTTTTTTTTGCAAAAGGGAGATGGGGGAGAAAGAAAAAAGCACGAGGACAAGATAGAAAAAAGTATACCATTAACAATCACAACCATGAATGTGAATGGGGTCAGTTCACCAATAAAATGGAAGAGAATTGCAGAAAGGATTAGAGAGTAGAATCCAACAACATATTGTTTATTAGAATCACACTTGAAATATAAAGATTCACAAAGAGTTAAAATGCAGGAATATAGCTTCAGGTAAACTCCAAAAGGTATGGGTAACAAACAGACAAGGCTATAGTTAAAACAGACATGATAGAAAGAGACAAGCAGGAAGACTACATTATGCTTAAAGGCATAATGAATAAATGTGAATACTAAACAAATATGCACTAATCTACTAAACTGCATAGTATATAATAGCATCTTAAAGGAAAAGTTAATTGAATAGCAGAGACAAATAGATAGTAAAACTGTAATAGTGAGGGACCTCCTTGTACCTTTTTCAGATCTGGACAAATCTAACAAAAACTATAAATAAGGAAGAAGTTAAGAACCTGAAGAGAACTTTAGAAAAATTGGAGATGATAGATATCTGGCTGATATTGAACGGGAACAGAAAGAAGTTGACATATTTCTTAGCTATGCATGATACTTTCACAAAAATATGACCATGTATTGAGGCATAAAAACCTCACAACAAAATATTGAAGGCCAGAAATAGTAAACATTCATCACAGGCCACAATGCAATGAAAATAAATTCAATAAAGAGCCTTTGAAGAAAATTAAAAATTAAAGGTTAAATAATTTAATCCTAAAAAAAAATTGGTGAGACAAACAACTAATCATAGAAAGAATAGAAAAATTCATCAAATAAAATACAACTATAAATATGCAATATTTTGTTAGCTTGAGGGAAAATTCATGGTCCAGAAATTCTCAAAAATGAACATTTTTAGGGCAATAAATGACCAAATAAGTAATCTGATTGCTAATTTGGTGAAAATCTCTTGTGATTTCAGGCAGCTCTGGCTGGAGGCACCACCATGATCATTGATTTTGCCATACCTCAGAAAGGCTGCTCCCTTATTGAGGCTTTTGACATGTGGAGAAGCTGGGCAGATCCCAAAGTCTGCTGTGACTATGCACTTCATGTTGCAGTTACATGGTGGAGTGACCAGGTAAAGGGATAAGGGTTAGTCAGTCAATAGACATTTATCAAGTACCTGTTTGGCATAATATTCTGTTCCAGGCACTGTGCTAAATGTTGAGGATACAAATATGAAAAAGAAAGACAGTCTTTGTCCTTGAGGAGCTTACAATCTAATGGGAAAGACAGCACCCAAAAGGAAGCTGAAAGGGTAGGGGGAAGGGCATGGAGGCATGATGGAGAGGTCAAAAGTATTGTAGCCAGGTGGGAAATGAAGAGATGGCTGGCATGAGCATTTTCCTTAAATGGAGGCTTTAGAAGGAGGTTTCTACTCTGCCCTCCAATCAGAGGGTTCCCAAGGGCAGAGAGTGTGATGAGGTGTAAGTATTAAGGCTGATGTGATCTTGCAGTATGGCAAAGTTCCTGGGGGCATGGTGAAGATGTCCAAAGGAGAGTAGCTGGGTAAGAAATGAATAGTTAAAGTAGAATTGTATATGGGAATTTGATAGTAACAATTTTGGGGCACATTTACATGTAAAATAACTGTGGGGCATATTTACACATAAAGAACTATATGGGGAGGAAGCTTCCTTCTGGAGCCCAAATGGGGTATTGCCCTTGAATGCCCCAATACGGCTTTGGCCAAAGGCAAAAACATTTTTATTTGATTTTGGTTGAGTCACTAGATTATAAAATCTCTGATGGCAAGAATATGGTCTCTACTATGTTTCTTTTATCAATAATTTTGTTTTATTAATTAGCTGTTGGCTTTTGATGACCTACAGCAAAATGATTATACACGACAGCTTATCAAAAATTTGGCAGCTCTCAGACCCACTAAAGCTCTTCCGCAGGCTAATCATTTCCCTTCCCTTCACAAAATCTTCCTATGGCTTGATTTTCCTATTGCTAGTTGCTCACCTCTGGATGTGTGCCAGATTATCAATAACCTTCCTAAAACCAATGCCCAGAATTGAATATTATAGGCCAAGTAGGGCAGAATATGACAGGATTATCACCTCCTATTTACTATGCCTCTCTTAAACCAGCCTAGGATAAAACTAATTTTGTTTTTGTTTGGTTTTTATTGCTGTCACACCACATGATTGGTTAACTCACTAAGCTCCCTAGATCTTTTTTCAGATATGAATGGGTATCTAGCCAGACTTCCTTCACCTTTTGCTCATAAAGATGATTTTTTGAACCCAAGTATAAGACTTTACATTTATCCCTATGAAATTCCATCTTATTAAATTTGTGTTAAGGTTTCATCCTTCAAGTTGGTTTTTTTTTTTGATCCTATCTTTATCATCCAGATTGTTAGCTTTCCCTCTTAGCTTTGTGTCATCTACAACTCTGGTAAACATCACACCTATTCCTTTAGCCAAATCATCAATAAAAATATCAAAGAACACAAGGCCAGGCATAGGGCTCTGAGTCACTTTACTAGAGACCTTAAAATCATTAATGACTACTTCTTGGGTCCCGCCATTTAATCAGTTTTGTATCCATCTAATTGTAGCCTGGGCAACTAGATGGTGCAGTAGAGTGCTGGGCCTGGAGTCAGGAAGACTCATCTTCCTAAATTCAAATCTGCTCTCACATACTTACAAGCTGTGTGACCCTGGACAAGCCATTTAAGCCTGTTTGCCTCAGTTTTCTCATCGTAAAATGAACTGGAGAAGGAAATAGCAAACCACTCTGGCATCTTTGCCAAGAAAACTCCAAATGGGGGCATGAAGAGTCAGACATGACTGAACAACAACAAAGTATAGCCTGTATGTCTCCATCTTTTCTACCAGAAAAACATAAGAAACTTTGTCAAATGCTTTGATAAATTCTAGGTAAAAACTATTTCTAGAATTCCTCTGATCTACGAACCCAGGAACTCCACCCACTAAAAAAAACAAGTTAGTCTGGTATGACCTGTTCTGGATTCTGAAACCATACTGCATTTTAATGATCACTATTTCTCTTTTTAGATTTGTTTCTGGAATTCTTCATCTATTTCCTCTTTCTATCTAAATGCTCAATTTTCATACACCAATAAAAATGTTGCTTCTGTTCCTACCCTTATTGTTCTTCATACAAATGATCTCCAGCTTGATGCCTACCCATCCCTTCCAGTTTTGGGGATTTCCTTGCATATACAAGGCTACTCTGTTCTTTTATCTCCTCCCTACAATTCTTTTATTTACTTTCTTCTTTCTAAATAAGATATGTCCTTTGAGGGCCACATTCTAGTTGTGGGTTTCATTCTACCAAGACTAGTGATACTACTGAGGTCACATTTGCCTCCTTGAGTTCAGGTCTTCAGCTTGCTTGTCTCTATGCTTTATGAATTGGTGCAAAGACATGCATCTTTTCCTTCAAAAACAAAAGACAAATCCATGGATTTTTTTTTAAACCATCTCTTTTAGATTTTTGTCTCTTGTGTATTTCTGGTTGCCTCTGCTGCTATTTTCTCCTTTCTATATTGTTTCCACTCTCTATGGTATCTAGCTGGATAGATACACACAGGCAATTTTCTCCCTCCCCCTTCCTTTGTAATTTAAGACTCTTTGGATGAGATTTGCAAGAATTCAGGCGAATACATTTTTACCAGCCTTTGTTACTTGTACTTCATCCTTGATCAGGAGTCCTTCATTTCTATATTTCATTGTAAGGCTTGAGGATATGTTCGTTTCTGTAATTCAAATGCCATTTACATATACTGTCTTCTTAATGAGCTATTCATTTACCAAATCTTTGTTTTTCATTTGGATCCCTTGCCATTGATTAGTAGCAGTGAAGAAAAGATCCCTAAAATCTCCTGGATTTTTTTTTTGTTTTGTTTTCTTGTTGTTTCTCAAGACTTCATAATCATTATCAGTGTCTTTAGAGACAGTGTGGAGTAATGAATAGAACACTGGACTCAGACACTTACTAGCTGTGTGATCCTAGGCAAGTCACTTAACTTCTCTGTTCCTCAGTTTCCTCATATGTAAAATAAGATGGAATTGGAATTAATGGCCTCTCAGATCCCTCTCAGTGCTAAGTCTACAATCTTTTTACCGTTATACTTTTTGTCTGTGTGAATTGCCAGAAAAAGATAGTAGACATCTGGTTTGATAGGCTCCTATGACCATAGATACAGAGCTGGAAGGGATGTCAGGCCTTATCTTGTCCAATCCTCTGATTTTACAGATGAGGAAATGGAGGCCCAGGGAGGTCAAGTAACTTACCTTAGGTTACATAGACAATAGGAGGTAGAGGCAGAATTTAGTCCCAGGTTGTCTTGGTTAGGGGCCAGTGTTATTTCCACTGTACCTAATGGCCCCCAAGTGTCTGGAGTGTTCTTTGTCACCTCCTAGAGACCTTTACCAGCAAGAAAGCAAACCTCTCCATTGCTGTTATCTGATCCACAAATAGTTGCCTCACTTCAGCAATGAGTCACCTGACATCACTTAATAATATTAAAAACAAACAACAACAATAGTGACAATTAAGTTACATCCAATGCACTTTACATATGTTATTTCATTTGATACTCTGGGGTTATGATTAACTCCATTTTACAGATAAGGAAATGGAGGCTAGGAAAGCCTAGTTGACTTGCCCAGTGTCACGCAGCTAGAAAGTGTCCGAGGCCTTTACTGGATGATCTCCCACCTAATAGCCCCTCCAGATCCACACCATGATTTCTTGGAGAAAAACTAGCTTCTTCCTCCATAGATGGTCCAGCTCCTAGCTTTTCAGGAGGAGTCTCCTATCTATATCTTACTTCCTATGTTCAGTGTTTCTTCCATTTATCTTCCCATTTTTTTCTTCCTTTATACACAGGCTGAGATCCCCCTGTACCTCTCCAGATCCATTTTATTCTCTACCCCACCCCCATTTAGCCTTTTTTAGTTTATTTTTAAAGGAGTAGTTCATTTTCATACATAGCACAGAACTCATCACCTTCTTTTCTAGAAGTCCTTCTCTATCTCCTTCAGCTTGAGTTCAAATCCTCCTTCTCCTTAGGTTCTTTACCTCTTTCCTTTATAGGTCTCAAGTATGAATCCAGGCTGAGTCATTTATTATCTGTGACCTTGGATAAATCATCCAATCTCTCTGGGTCTCAGTTTCCTCATCTATAAAATGAGAGGTTAGACTAGATGACCTCTAAGGTCCCTTGCAGATCTAAATCCATGATTCTATATGGGAAGAGAAGAGGATGAGAAATATCCAAGACCAGGGGTGGGGAACCTGCAGCCTCAAGGCCACATGTGGCCCTCTAGGTCCTCAAGTGCAGACCTTTGACTGAATCCAAACTTGAGGACTTTGAGGGCCACATGTGGCCTCAAGGTCACAGGTTCCCCACCCCTGCCTAAGATCAGCTTCAGTGACATCTACTGTACACCTATGACCGGTACCAGGAGAATCTCATAGCCCAGGAGGTAATTGATCCCCATGACAGGCAGTTGTGGGTCTTATTCTTTCCCTCAGGGCACAGCTGCCCATAATTTTTAAGTCAGAGATCCCCAGAATTTTATCAACTTGAACCTGTTTCAAGAATTTGTAAATACCCTTTAAAGATTACCTGCCTCTTCTCTTTAATGACCAGAGACATAGTGAATTTCCATTTACAAATGAATGAATGTAAAAACATTTATTAAGTGCCCACTGTGTGCCAGGCACTGTGCCAAATGCTAGGGAATACAAGTGTGAAAAGTGAGGCAGACCTGGCTTCCCACCCTAAGGAGTTTTCATTTCTAAGAGAGAAAAGTAGCACATATAATGGAGTAAAGGCCAAAGAGAGGTGTTTTGGTGAGGGAGGTGAAAGGGATTATAAATTGAGTCCATGGAGCAAGTATTTGTCATGTCCTTTTGAAGAATGGTAGGGCAGCTAGGTGGTGCAGTGGATAGAGTGCCAGACCTGGAGTCAGGAAGACTCATCTTCCTTAATTCAAATCTGGCCTCGGACACTTACTAGCTGTGTGACCCTGGGTAAGTCACTTAACCTGTTTGTCCTTCAGTTCCTCATCTGTAAAATGAGCTGGAGAAGGAAATGGCAAACCACTGCAGTATCTTTGCTAAGAAAACCCCAAATGAGGACATGAAGAGTTGGGCATGATTAGAAAACAACTGAACAACATTATCAGTAGTGCTGATTTGATTATTGTTCCCAGAGCCAAGAGATAGAAAAATAGAGTGGGGGAAGGGGGGTGGAAAAGGGATAGATTTGCAAGGGTATGGCATGAAGTGATTGATTGGGCTAGAAATGATGAAGACTCTCCAGTCGAGACCCAGGGCCTATCCTCTTCTACCATATACTGTCTTGGAAATTGAACTTTTCTTCAATTTCATTGTTTCCCATTTGTGAAACTGCTTCAATTCCAGTAATCTTGGCCTCCCTGAGAAAGCTCACCCCGCTTCCCTTCCATCTTCACCCCTACTCCTCTTCTTCAGGTGCTCTGACTCAGCAAGCATTTTAAAAATAGCACTCACTCAATAGATTTTAATACTGCAAGAAAACCAGGCAATGTAAAATAGGTTGTGCTTGAGCACAGATTATGTAAGATTGTGTCATTCTTGCTTCCCAAGGCAGAAAATCAAGGTCTTGATTAAGTGAGATCTCATATCACCTAGTCACAAAATAGGTAGTAATTATCTCTTTTCTGCACCAAATTTGGATCATTTCATGTTCTACTGATTCAAATTCCCTGCACAATTTTAGTGGAATGCAATTCTGTTATTATATATCTTAAAAACTATTGTGCAGGCTTTTTGTGTTCTAGTAGATAGCAATTATATATTAGACTCTTTCTCAGTAGTGGGAAGCCCTTGATTTCAATTATTTATTTATTAAAAAAAATGAGAGAGATGATCCAATATGAGGCCTCTAGTATGTCGTCCAGTTTGATTTTCTAAAGGTAGTTGAACAACTTGCTAGTCAAAAGCTAAAGCAGAAAATAGATTGTTTTATTTGTCTTTAAAATCTTTCTCTGTCACTCAGTAAGATGCCCTAATACTGATCGGATACCCTAATACTGATCTTGATGATCAAGGACCCTTTGCCAGGGACCCCTTCTTGGGGAACTTTGTCAGAAGGCAGGGTATGGACCAAGTGACTTCAGACATTTCTGTCCAACTCTATTTCTTTGATTATCTCTCACCAAAGTATTGTGAGCATTCATGACACAGTACATGAAATTATGTGAAATACAAAATATATAACATGGGACCTGAGGGAAAGGACCCAGGACATTTCCATGTATTTTGTAAGATGCTTAATAAATAATACATGTAGAGGAAAGGTACTCTACCCATAAAAGATATTGATGTAATATTATGAAATGAAGATATAGCCATTTGACCTTATAAATAGATTTTAAAATAATTGTTAAATTTTCAGCCTGTAAAATATTCCCTAGTCCTCCTCTCATTGATTAGTGTTACTGCAGTTCTGAAGGCAATGAACATTACAGCTGCTTAACAGCATGGGGCAGAATTTCAATTTTTAAAAATCTTACCCAAAGTAGTTATAGTGACTAGACATTTATAATCAAATATCCTAGGGTTATAGATTAAGAACTAAAAGAAATCTTAGAGATCATCTACTCCAATCCCTTTGTTTTACAGATGTGGAAACTGAAGTTCAGATTAAAATACCACTTAGACAAAAAGGTTTAGTGACTTGTCCAAGGTTCACACAAGAATTAAAGAGCAGTGTTAAAGAAGAATCAGGGTCTCCTGGCTCAAAACCAAACTTTATTTTTTTCCTAGTGTTCCAATTTATATAAATATTTGTACATTAAATAAATAACTTTTACCAAGGTTTTTAACTGTTTGACAAATTATACTGCTGATTTGAAACTGGATTGCTTACATCTATTCAAATAATAGATAGATAGATAGACAGATAGATAGATAGATAGATAGATAGATAGATAGACAGACAGACAAAGAGTTTTCGGCACTGAAAGACAAAAACTGGCCAAAGGTCAGGGACAAAAAAGGCCTGAGCAGAAGGCTAGTAGAAATTCAAGAGTGGAAGCTAGGAGGCCACTCAATGGAATGTAAATTTACCTAGTTGGTTTCACTTTCAGTATGTGTTGTTATGAACCAAATCATCTTTAGGATCAAAGGGAAGACCAAAAGGAGAGAGAAGAGAAATAGAGTCTTTTATCTTAGAAAGCGACACTTGGATTAAACTGATATTTGCAAGGAATATACCAACTGATAGCTAGCTACTAGGGTGACCATAGGAACATAGCATCATGGAACTCAAGATAAGAAGGCCGGAAAATGAACCTAAGATAAACAGAGGACTATAACAAAGACAACAGAGATTAAACTCAAGGTGCACACAGCCAAGGCATTGCAAATTGTGGTAAACAATAATTGAGGTAGGATTATGAGGGATGATTGAATGACATGAGAAAAAATAGGGGAGACTCAATGCCTGAAGGCATCATGGAGGTGGGGTAGGGAGTGGAGTGGAATAGAGCTTTATGAATATGTTACCTTGTATTCAGATACTAGGGATGACTTGGTCCATAGACAGTGTCTCAGAGGCACATCTAAATTACCCACCCTGACTCTGTCACTATGGTATTTAAATATCACTTCATATTACCTGGCAACATCAATTGGCTCTTTCTATCTTCCTTTCAGTTTAAGACTGAATCCAAATGTTTACCAAATGTTTACTTGTAACCGTATGTTCCTCCTAGTATACAACATTACTTAGAAATAAGACCAAACATTTTGGTAAAAAGAATTTACTAAGTCTTTTAAGTTACAAGGGGACAGAGGGATAATTTTTGACCTTGGGGAGAATCTTGTGGATAATTGCATTCCCCTCATTTTTCATAAGGGGCAGCATCTTATAGTGGAAAGATAGCTAGCCTTGGAACCAGGAAGACCGGGGTTCAAGTCCCACTTCTGATACATACTGGCTGTGTGACCCTGGGCAAATCATTTAGCCTCTTAAAGCTCTAGGCAACTCTCTCAGACTCTAAATTGCGAAGAAAGTGCCCCCTTGAATTGGTACAGAGAATTTCCTCTTTTGAGATTTCCCTATATAAAGAAATCACAGGTCGAGCTCCTATCCCTCTCCTTGTTTTTGATACCCTATTTTGGGGAGTGAAGACTATTATTTGGGTTCAAAAACAGTTCTATTTATTCCCTTTCAGGTCAAAGAAGAAATGAGAACTCTAACACAAAATAAGGGTGTTAACTCTTTCAAGATGTTTATGGCCTATAAAGACCTGTACATGATTAGAGATCAAGAGATGTATGCAGCTTTTTCTCAGTGCAAGGAAATTGGAGCGATTGCTCAAGTCCATGCTGAGAATGGAGACTTGATTGCTGAGGTGAGTGTATGTGCATTTCCAGTCTTCAGACACGAAAGCACCGGCAGCTGCAAGTGAAGAAGAGTGGCCTATTTGGTGCCAAAACAGAAAGCTTAAATTAGTATACTCATTTACCGCTTCAGGTAAGAAGGAAATCCAGAACACAATTCTCTGTGCCTTAACTGGAAATGTGATTTGTGGGCATTGGTCACCTTTTCCTTCTGTTTACTTAGAACATCTTGAAGTCAAAATAAGTACTTCCCTTTTTACAGTAAGCCATTATTACATCCCAGGCTTTTCTTATTATAAAAATATTAATAATCCTCTATGCATTTCTTAGTACTTTTGTGTTGAGCCATTCAGAATACTGGCACAGAATCCCAGCATCTGGGAAGACAGCCATGCAATCTGAGAGCCAGAGTGTGGGTTGATTGAGGCAATGGACTCAAATAGGCTTTTGACAAACACTTGCTCTTGGTCAGAAATTGAATCATAAAATGTACTCTGTAGACTGGGAGAACTCTATTTCTCATATTATTTACAATGCTATACTACCTTAGTGGTGATTAGTTTTGAAAACTTTAGGATCTTTATCTCAGCCTTAAAGCAAGTGTTCTTAACCTTGGGTCTATCAACTTCTTTTTTTTTAATTTTGATAAGTATTTCAATATAATAGGTTTCTTTTGTAGCCCTATGCATTTAAAAACAATATTTTGAGAAGGGATCCATAAACTTCATCAGGCTGCCAAAGGTACCCAGGACACAAACAAGGTTAAGAAACCCTGACTTAGAGAAAAGAGGGCTAGGCAGCTAGCTAGCTGCCTCTGACAGCTGGCTGACTTAGGGCAAGCCGTTTGGTGAAGCTAGGTTTCTAAGCATTACTTACCTCACAGAGTTGTTGATCACATGAGTAGATGTGCATTTTTTTATTTGTAAATTTTTATTTTATTTTAAACCTAAATACAAAATAAGAAAAGAAAAAAGAAACAAACCTAAAAGATGTGCACCTTTTAAGGAATACCTGTATTAGAATCCACAAGACAAGAAGATAGAACCCCAGAACGTAAAAACTCCAATAATTAACACCGGAGAACTTTAGGACAAAAAGGTTTCATTTAGCATCTATATACCCAACCAACTCCACATGCTTAATATAGTACAGATGGTCTTGCAGGCATGTGGACTCAAGGTCAAGTTATTGGGACCCCATGGTGCTAACTATGCCCTAACGTACCTGCACCTGCCAAAGACAGAAAACCTTGCTTTTATCTATCCACGTGAAAGAAAAATGAAAAGAATGGACTAGAGGAGGGGAAAGGAAAAAGATGTAGACAGGGTGGAAGATGAATGCAGCACTATGAGTTAGAAACTGAGAGTAAACAAGCATTGACTATGAGGGAAAAGGGACTGGAAACTTGGTTGGGAATCATTCTCTTTCCCCAAAATGTATTCAAGGCAGGAAACTGGGCCTACTCAATTCCAGAAACCTTAAAGTGAGGAGACTGAGGGGCCCAGTAATACAGCCTCAGTAAGCTGTGCAGCCGTGGAAGGGAGAGCAACCAAAGAGTGAGAAAGATTCCCAAATATGGGAATACCAGAGAATGGCTGAAACACCAAGACATTGAGAAAGAAACTCTGAACAAAAGCCTAGTGAATAAGCAAATAAAGAAGCAGATAGGATATTAGAAATGGAAGAAAGAATTAATAAAGCTTCAAAGAGAAACCTAAGATCTTTTGAGATGGAGTGGAGAAAAGTGAACCAGGAGAGCCCCAAGGAAATCTATAGTCCTGGAGACTACTTAGAGATCATGGAACAACACTAAGCAACTCCAGAATAATTCAAAAAAAGAAGCAAAGTCTTAAAAATGTGAAGTTAGGAATGATTTTAGGTCAGAAATTTGAGCTCTTGACATAGATTTAAAAAACATGAACAACTGGATAGGAAAAATTGGATACATAATTCACTTTGATACCTAGCTGCCCATCATCGATATGGTTAGAGGCTACTAGGAAGTTATATTAAGAGACATGAAGCTTGATATTTGGTCCCTCTCCATAGCTACTTAAGTTCCAGGAATAACTTTGTTGCCTTTAGGGAAAAATTATGTATCTCCCCAAAGAATTAGAGACTCTGAGAAAGAGAGAAAGAGAGCTGAGGGGAAAACAGATTTGAAACACAAAGATACTGAAGTGGAAGAAATATTGATAAAAGAGAAGTAAAAGGCAATAGCTTTTGAAAAAAATACATGAATTTTACAATGTGCAAATCAAAGCAACTGACACCAAAGAAAAAATTCTCAGAGACAACTTAAGAATTATTGGTGTCCTAGAAGAAAGTGACAAAGTAAAAGCAAAACAAAAATCAAATACCAGCTTACAGGAAATAATTCAAGAGCTTCTGAATACAGAAAATGCTTTGTTGTTTGAGAGAAACCACAGCTCACTATCAGGAAAAATGACACAAACAAATATTTCAAATGTTTCATGTCATTTTTGATATGATTCCAATTTCAAGACATCTAGTGGTTAAATATAGAAATTTCAATTATAAACTAAAAAATCTGCAAGCATCCAGGAGAAAGACTTTTCAAAATGAAAAAAAAAAAAAGACTTTCTAAAGGACTAAGTAAATTTACTTGCCAATGGAGAAAAAACCCATTATGTGTCTGAGGCAGGACTTCCTGATTCTGAAGCCAGGAGATCCACTATACAACATGTATATGCTTTATAATTAACTAAATATTACCCAGTGCATGTTGAGTGATCTTTACTTTTAAATAAGTAAGTTCCACCAATGGATATTGTCATCGCATCTGTCATTGATTGTCTTCAAGATCTTCCTGGAATATTTTGTGGCTAATTGTGACCCAAGGTCACATAGCCAATATGTATTAGACTTGTTAAGGAGGGTCTGGCCCAAGTCAGCACCTTGTTATTTCAAGTACAATATTGGGAGGAAATGAGGCACTCATAGACTATCCAACAGTTAAAGAAAGGAGGTTCACTTAGCCATAGCATGTCAAGGGTAATCAACAAAGCACTTAGCTTTGGCAAACAACTTTGTCTCCATGTGGAAATGAGCCTGGTTATCAGTGAAAACAGGTTGTGGCAATTCTTAAGATATCTGCAGGATCTGAAGGTCCCTAACCATACATTCATTGATGGACCTTTTTATGTTCTTAGATGACCAGGAAGTCACATCAATATGGTTATGTTCAGTCATTTTCAGTTATGCTGGACTGTTCTCATTTGGAGTTTCCTTGGTAAAGATACTGGAGTAGTTTGCTATTTCCTTCTCCAGTTCATTTTACAAATCAGGAAACTGAGGCAAATAGAGTTAAGTGACTTGCTCAGGGTCACACAGTAAGTGTCTGAAGTTAGATTTGAACTCAAGAAGATGAGTCTTTTTGACTCTATGCCAAGCACTCTATTCACTTTGATACCTACCTGCCCATCATCGATATGGTTAGAGGCTACTAGGAAGTTATATTAAGAGACATGAAGCTTGATATTTGGTCCCTCTCCATAGCTACTTAAGTTCCAGGAATAACTTTGTTGCCTTTTAGGGAAAAATTAGCCTAACCCATATTACAAAGGAAGAGAAAAACCCTGGTAGATAGTGGAGATTACAAGGTGGGACTTGGAACCAGGTCTTCCTAACTCCAAGGCCACTAAAGCCACCTTTAAGTGTTATGTAATTAGGTTTAAAAATCATACTAAAATTTCAGTTAGGACACATCCCGGAGTCAGTCCAGCAACATTTTTTTCTCAGGCCTTATGTAGGACATTGGGGCTCTGCACTGTGGAAACTTCTCCTTAATACACTGATCATGAGACTCTTAAAAGAGGAATGAATATTAGGGCTAGAGATAATGTTAGCGTCGCTCATTTTGAATCAATAATGATCCTGAATATTTTATCCTTATTAACTTTTTATTACTAATTTTGGCTAGTTTTCTATGAAGAACCTAATTAGCATTAACTCTCACAATTTTTTTTCTTTTGATAAAGTCAAGTAGTTTAACTATAAATTAATGTAAAGACATTTCTTTTTTCTCTCTCTCTTTCTTTCTTGTATAATGCCCTGGTAATGGGAATAATCGATTTTTACTCAATTCATTTAATGCTTTGGTATCTTGAATGCATTTGGTTTTACATGTGTGTGCATTTTTATTGATCAATTTCCAGGAGTCAAAGAAAATGTTGGCCCTGGGGATAACAGGTCCTGAGGGCCATGAGATGTGTCGTCCAGAAGCCGTAGAAGCAGAAGCCACTCTGAGAGCCATCACCATAGCTAATGCTGTGAACTGCCCACTCTATATTGTCCATGTGATGAGCAAGTCCTCAGCTAAGGTGATAGCTAATGCAAGGAGAGAAGGTACCATCCTTATTTCAAACTCAAATTCCAATTCGAATTGAATTTCAGATTCAGTAGAGAAGCTTTAAAGTTGATGTCTAAATACCACTTTAAGACTTGTGAAACATTTGACATTCATCATCTCATTTGGTCATTACGGTAGCCCTATGGACTGAGTATACCAGGCTTATTCTTATTTTACAAATCAGGAAACTGAGGCTAAAAGAGATGAAATAATCTGTCAAAGGTCACATTACTGGCAATCAATCAACAAACCTTTTTTTCATTTTTTTATTAATTTATTTTGATTTATCAACAATCACTTCCATATGCTTTTGAATTTAAAATTTTTCTCCCCCTTCCTCCCCACCACCCTCCCCAAGATGGTGCACAATCTTATATAGGCTATACATATACATCCCTATTAAACATATTTTCACATTAGTGATGTTGTAAGTAAAAATTAGAGCCAATAGGAGGAACCACCTGGAAGAGGAAACAAAACACAACAGAAGAGAAAAAAAAGCTAGCAATTCAAATTCTATAGTTCTTTCTTTGGATATGGATAGCATTTTCCATCATGAGTCCTTTGGAGATGCCTTAGATCCTTGTATTGCTGGGAAGGATTAAGTTTATCAACATTAGTCATCACACAACGTGGCTGTTATTGTGTACAATGTTCTCTTGGTTCTGCTCACTTCACTCAGCATCAGACCATACAAGTCTTTCCAGGTTTTTCTGAAGTCATCCTGTTTACCATTTCTTATAGCGCAATAGTATTCCATCACATTCATATACCACAACTTGCTCAGTCCATTCCCCAATTGATGGGCATCCTCTCGATTTCCAATTCTTTGCCACCACAAAAAGAGCTGCTATGAATATTTTTGTACATGTGGGTCCTTTTCCCATTTGTATGATCTCTTTGGGATATAGCCTTAGGAGTGCCATTGCTGGGTCAAAGGGTATTCACATTTTTATAGCCCTTTGGGCATAGTTCCAAATTGCTCTCCAAAATGGTTGGATCATTTCACAACTCCACCAACAATGCATTAGTGTTCCAATTTTCCCACATCTTCTCCAACATTTATCATTTTCCTGTTTTGTCATGTTGGCCAATCTGATAGGTGTGATGTGGTACCTCAGAGTTGTTTTGATTTGCATTTCTCTAATCAATAGTGATTTAGAGTATTTTTTCATATGACTATAGATGGCTTTAATTTCTTCATCTGAGAACTGCCTGTTCATATCCTTTGACCATTTATCAGTTGGGGAATGACTTGTATTCTTATAGATTTGACTTAATTCTCTATATATTTTAGAAATGAGGCCCTTATCAGAGAGACTGGTTGTAAAAATCCTTCCTCAATTTTCTACCTTCCTTCTAATCTTAGTTGCATTGACTTTGTTTGTGCAAAAACTTTTCAATTTAATGTAATCAAAGTTATCCATTTTGCTTTTTGTAATGTTCTCTATCCACTGTTTGGTCATGAATTCTTCTGTTCTCCATAGATCTGATAGGTAAACTATTCCTTGCTCTTCCAGTTTGCTTATAGTATCAGCCTTTATATCTAAATGATGGATCCATTTTGACTTTATTTTGGTATATGGTGTGAGATTTTTGTCTATGCCTAGTTTCTGCCATTCTCTTTTCCAGTTTTCCCAGCAGTTTTTGTCAAAAAGTGGGTTCTTATTCCAGAAGCTGGATCTTTGGGTTTATCAAATAATAGATCACTATAGTCATTGACTACTGTGTCTTGCATATTTAACCTATTCCACTGATCCACCCCTCTATTTCTTAGGCAGTACCAAGCAGTTTTGATGATTGCTGCTTTATAATACAGGTTAAGATCTGGAATGTCTAGACCACCTTCCCCCATATTTCTTTTCATTAGTTCCCTTGATATTCTGGACATTTTGTTCTTCCAAATGAATCTTGTTATTATTTTTTCTAACTCTATAAAATAATTTTTGGTAGTTTGATTGGTATGGCACTGAATAAGTAAGTTAGCTTAGGTAGAATTGTCATTTTCATTATGTTAGCTCGGCCTACCCATAAGCAAATGATGTTTTTCCAACAAACATTTTTTAAAGCACTTACTGAGTTCTAGGCACTGTGCTAAGCCCTGGGGATACAAGGAAAAATTGAAAAGAGTCCCTACCTTCAGGGAGCTTACATTCTAATGTATATACATGTACATAAATAGGTATATACAGGATACCTACGGAGTAGATAGAAGATAACTGTATTAATTTATTTGGATATATCAGCAATCACTTCCATAAGCTTCTGAGTTTTAAATTTTTCTCCCCCTCCCTCTCCCGTCCCTCCCCAAGACGGGGCTATATAGGCTATACAGATACATTCCTAAGATAACTTTAGAGGGGTAGGCTCTAGCAACTAGGGGGTGGGCAGGAAAGAGCTCTTGTAGAAGGTAGCACTTGATATGAGTCCTGATGGAAGTCAGGAGTTCTGAGAGGAGAGATTAGAAAGGAAGGGCATTTAGGTATGGGTGGGAGTGCAGAGAGTGGAGATGGAGGGTTTTGTGTGAGGAACAGCAAGGCCTGTATGATTAGACTGTAGAATGCATGGAAAGGGCATAATATGTAGGAAGACTACACACACAAAATCGGATCTAGTTATGAAGGGCTTTTAAGGCCAAGCAGAGGAGTTTTTATTTGATCTCAGACATAATAGAAGTCCCTGGAGTTTATTGGGTGGGGGAAGATTTGGTCAGACCTGTGCCTTAGGAAAATCACTTGGCAGCTCTGTAGAGTAGTGTGGAGAAGAGATCTGAGGCAAGGAGACCAATTAATTAGCAAGGTAGGGCAATAATCCAGGTGAGAGTGATGAGGTCTTGGGCCAGGGCAATGTACCATGAGGGGAGAGAAGGTGACCAGTGGGGGAGCCGTGGGGGTAGAAATGATAAAGAAACTGATTGATTAGGTATGTAGGGTGAGTGAGGGGTTGCGAACGACAATAATTTATCAGGGAAAGTAGTTCCTGCACTGACATAGATTGTAGCCCCCGTTGGGATCATTGGTGACCCAGATTTTTTTGAGCATTCCTGTGGCTTTAAATGTTTGTCCTTTAAAGGCTTTCACTACCTAGCCCAAACTTCCCTCTCATACACTTCACTGTCCAGCCGAATTGGCTTTCTTTCTGTTCCTTAGGCGTGTGCCACTGTGCCTTCTATCAATCACATTGTCAACAAGCATTTATTAAGTGTTTACTATGTGCTAGACATTCTGCTAGATTCTGAGGCTATAAACACAAAGAATAAAATCATCCCTTATCTCGATGAGCTGACATTCTCCCATGCCTTTGAGCTGGCAATCCCTCATGAATAATAACAATAACAACAACAATAGCTAACATACAGCAATTTCACATTTGCAGAGCATTTTACATATGCTGTTTCATTTCATTTTCACGACAGCTCTGTCCCAGGGTAAGTGCTATTATTATCCCTATTTTACACATAATGAAACTGAGACTGAGAGAGGCTAAGTAATATGCACAGGGACATACACAGCTAATACGTGACTGAGGCAGGATTCAAACTCAGGACACCCTGCTTCCCAAGTCCAACTCTTGATCTCTGCTTGAGTTTGTGCCCTGCAGCTGTAGCCTTTGAGAAGATAGGGTCACCTCCATGCCAAAGCTAAACCCGAGGGGCTGGGGAATGGTAATGATTGTCAAAACTAATGTCTTTTGATTTCAAAAAAAACACATAGCACTCATCTCCTAACAGAGAGGTGATAGAATTGGAGTGCTGAATGAGACACACAATTTTTGGTCATGGCCAAAGAGGCAATTTGCTTTGCTTGACTATATGCATATGTGTTATAGGGGCTTTGTTTTTCTTTTCTTTTTCCCCAGTGAGGGAGAGTGGAGAAAGTCAATTTTTATTAAGTAAAAAAAAAAATAAAAATTTAAAATATTAGCTTCATTTTTTTTAATTGAAAGGGGACAATAGGGAAGCTCAAACAAAGGGACTTTTTATTCTTCATTTCATCCTGCCAGAGTCTTGTTTTAAGAGTATGTGCCATGCTATCCACAGGGGAAAACAATGCCTCTCTAAAAACAATCCTTGTGGTTACCAAGTTCCCATCAGCAGCACTTGGTGTTTTCAGATTTTTAACAGATTAAAGAGACCCTTTTTTCAGGGTCTGGTTTTTAGAATTGTACAGTTAGATTTTTCCACTAGATGGCTCTGTTGCCAGCATTATAGAATTAGTCATTCTATAATTACTTACCTTTGCAAGGCATGTACTGTATACCACCCTCTGTCAGGTCCACAATGTCAGAATATCATTTAAAAAACAGTAAAATCAACAGAAATGTTCAGAGTTAACCCACTGCAAGCTAAAGTTTTGACAGTTCTGTCAGAAAGCTGTTTCTTGATCTGTTTTTTTTCCCCTCCCCAAAATTCCATTCAGAGTCTAACAGAAGTCCAAGATAGATTTCTAGAATATAGGACAAAGGCTGGAAAATTATCAAACCTAAATATGGACCATTAAAAATGTTCCCCCAAAATAGAAGGTAGCTGTAGTTAGGTAGCAGGTGTTGAGTCAGGGCAATGTCTGATTTAGATGCAATGCTGGGGCAGGGGTGTGGGGCCATATAAAGCATTTTAAAGGATGTATTGATATACTGCAAATGACACAGTCTAACTCTTTAATAATTGGAAATAACAGCAGTAGACTTATATCTTCTCCAAATTTCCCTATTTTTTTGTTGAGGTTATCATCACCCAGTCATCCAGGTTCATAACCTCAGTTATCCTTGACTCTTTACTCTCCGTCACCCCAGTTTCATCCATTTGGTTGCCAAGTCTTGCCAACTCTACCTCCTCAACATCTCTCTGTCTATGCCCATGTCCACTCACTCAAGATCTACCCTTGTTCATGCTCTTATCAACCACTTCTTTCTTGGACTGATACAATAGCCTCTTATCTGGTCTCCAATTCCAATTTCTTCCCCTCCAATTCATGCACCACATGGCTGACAAAATAGT